TGACACATCCCAAACTCAGGAGATTTCACAGCAAACCAGATCTCCAGCTTTTCTCATCAGAAGACGGGCAGCACCGGGTCTGCACCTGCAGTGGCTGTCCCGTGGGCAGGAAGGGGATCCTCATTCACCACCACCCCAGCTCCGTGACGGCCCCCATTTCCATCACTTCTGTTACCTCTCTGCCCCGACATCTGAGTCTGAGCTTCTGAGCCCTGGCACCTTTCCTGGGAGCCACACAAGCCTCCTTGCCGCCCCCTGCTCAGGCCTTCACCTGCTCCTTCCTCTGCCTGGAGTCTCTTCCGTCCACAGGGCTCCACCCCCACCTCCCTGAGCTCTCTAACCCATGGCCACCTGCTCAGGGGGTCCTTGCAGGCCATCTGCTTTAAAACAGCACCACCATCACCAAGGTCACGTTCCCTCGCCTCACCCTACGATACTCTCCTCGTCACCCTTGCTGACACGTGACAGAGCATGCTTCCAGGGCTGAGTGTCCACATCCCCCTCAAGATCCTGAGCACTGTGACTTTTCCACTGCTACCCTCCCAAGGCCCAGAGTAATGCGTAAAAGCCCGGGGTCTTTACCTAGAATTCTGTAACTCATTGTTGAATGACTGAATGACCACAGGCAAGCCCATCCCTGTCTCTGGACCTCATCTTCTCCACTCATAAATGAAGGGACTTGGCCACGGAATCACTCAGACCCTCCCAGCCCTATTGGCATATTATGGTCTGCATGGTGGCAGCTCAGTGTCTTTTCCTCTGGGACGGCTAGGTGAGTCACTAGAGTCTCCACTGACACCAGAGGGATGCTTGAATGAACCATGTGGGCCAAGGCCCTGGCAGGAGAGTGGGGAAGGAGACATGCCGCAGAGAAGAGAGATGAGGCACGAGATTCATGGAGGCCAAGCTGCTCACCTCGTGGGGTCTGACGAAGGTGGGAAATACTTGTGATATCATGACCTGTAGAATAGGATAAGAAAGGATGATGGAGCAGAAAATGGAATGGATGGGATAGAATGGAAAGGATGGGATGGGATAGGATGGAATGGGATAGGACAGAATGGATGGGATGGGATAGGATGGAATGGGATAGGACAGAATGGATGGGATGGGATAGGATGGAATGGATGGGATAGGATGGAATGGATGGGATGGGATGCAATGGATGGGATGGGACAGGATGGGATGGGATAGGACAGAATGGATGGGATGGGATAGGATGGAATGGATGGGATAGGATGGAATGGATGGGATGGGATGCAATGGATGGGATGGGATAGGATGGGATGGAATGGATGGGATGGGATGGATGGGATGGGATGCAATGGATGGGATGGGATGGAATGGATGGGATGGGATGGATGGGATGGGATGCAATGGATGGGATGGGATGGGATGGATGGGATGGGATGGATGGGATGGGATGGGATAGGATGCAATGGATGGGATGGGATGGGATGGGACGGGATGGGATGGAATGGATGGGATGGGATAGGATGGAATGTATGAGATGGGATGGGATGGAATGGATGAGATAGGATGGGATGGAATGGATGGGATGGGATGGGATGGGATGGAATGGGTGGGATGGGATAGGATGGAATGGATGGGATGGGATGGATGGGATGGGAAGGGATGGGATGGGATGGGACGGGATGGAATGGATGGGATGGGATGGATGGGATGAGATGGGATAGGATGGAATGGATGGGATGGGATGGGATGGGATGGGATAGGATGGGATGGGATGGATGGGATGGGATGGATGGGATGGGATGCAATGGATGGGATGGGATGGAATGGATGGGATGGGATGGATGGGATGGGATGGGATAGGATGGAATGGGTGGGATGGGATGGGATGGGATGGGATGGAATGGATGGGATGGGATAGGATGGAATGGGTGGGATGGGATAGGATGGAATGCGTGGGATGGGATAGGATGGAATGGATGGGATAGGATGGAATGGGTGGGACGGGATAGGATGGAATGGGTGGGATGGGATAGGATGGAATGGATGGGATGGGATAGGATGGAATGGATGGGATGGGATAGGATGGAATGGATGGGATGGGATAGGATGGGATGGGATGGAATGGATGGATGGAGGAATGGATGGGCTGGATTTCAGGGGGCATCTCATGCAGTCAAGGTATCTGATGCACAGGCTCACATACAGACTTCCTCTTTCCACTTCAGTGCACTCTGGTATATTGCACTCTATTCTATTTCATTTTCCCTTAAATTGCTAGCAACAGCCCTCCCTAGCTGCTAATGGTTCACAGTCCCGTTTGCACAGCCCTGATTTAGGAGCAGTGGAGAAGGATAAAAGAGCTGAGGGAAAATGAGAAAAGGGAATTGACAGAGTGCGTGAGAGGAATAGAGACTAGAAGGGAAGGCATGGGGATGCCAGCCACCTGATGGGCAGCTGCTCCCTGGACATCAGCCCACTGGGATTGTCTAGGGGTCATGCCTGCCTGAACAAAGATTTACCTCTAAGGGTGCTGGGCGAACAGGTGGGTGCGCACCCCTCAAGCCCTGTGATAGAACCGCCCTTCCAAAACTCTCAAAGCACATGGCTGGAAGGACACCTGGCCTGTCAGTGCCTCAGCTTCATGTCATGCTGGTCAGGGCTCCCAGGCATAACGTAACCTTCCATGGTGACTCCGAGGGACGGGGTTGCTGAGGAGTCTGCATACCCCGCTCTCTCACTTGAAGCTTCATCACAAGCAGGGCAAAGCGGGCCATTTGTCCAGGCTCCCACATCAACAATGTCGGGTGTGCCTGCACGCGGGGAGTGCGCAGGGGTCGGGGGTGTGGTGCCGCCCCCACGTCCACTAGGGGCAGCCAGGAACTCCCCTCTGGCGTCTCCACAAGTAATTCACGGTCTCGATGTGACATCCGTGATGCATTTTGCAAACAGAAGGAGCCTCCGCATGCTCACCGCCCTCCATCCGTAACACCAAGCCCGTTCCTGACTCCTGCCCTCTGCGCTTGCTGTTTCTCAGCCTGGAATAGTCTTCTCCCAGGCCCTGAAGAGATGCTTCTTCTGGCCATTCAAACGTCCCTTCCGCGGAGACACCTCTCCTGACCACGTTCTCCTTCCCCGCCCGCCGCCTCCTCCATCGCTCTCTTCAGTCTTCTTCCTACGCTGATTGCTGTTTGAAAGTACCTATTTATTTGCTAATTTATTTACTTTCTGTCTTCCCACTAGACTATAAACTCCTCAAAAGCAGAAACTCACTGTTTTTCTTGTTTATAGCTGAACCCCTGGGGCCTGGCCCATGTATGGTCTGATAAGTATCTCTTGAATGATGATGGATGAGGAATCGGTCCTTAGGTGGCAACCAGTTGCAATCTTGGTGTTGCTATAGGAGTCACACAAACCAAACTTATCCAATCATGTACTCATCAAATATTTGCTGACGCCCAATATATGCAGTCCCTGGACCACAGAATCCAAGAGAATGGAGTCTGTTCATAAACAGACAGACCCCATGGAGTGGATGTGCCAAGGGAGGGTGGGCCACTCCGTAACAGGAAATGGGTTTGCCAGAGCCCCTGCCAGGGCAGGTCATGACGGCAAAGGTCACTTTCAGCAGGTGCAGGCATCTCCCGCCCCAGTTCATTTCCCATGTGCGCCCCCTCCCTCCACTCAGGCACACAGGACGGGGAGCTCAGAGCACCTGCCCTGATGAGTGGGGGGCACAGCTCTGCTGAGGGGGAAGTCTCTGCTCAGCTCCAGCCTCACTGTTCCCAGTAAAAACTCCGGCCCAGCATCACCAAACCCCTTGAATCTTCAAGGGGAGCCAGAAAATCAGAGTTGCAAATAAAATTTTTAATTTCCAAAAACCGTTAGGGATGAAACAAACTTGTCTATAGGTGCCTGGCTTTACAGGGACCTTGGGAGATCCCCAGGATGGGGCCCTATCTCCTCCTTGTTCTCTTGCCCCCACCGTGGAGATTCAGTGCCCTTTGGGGGCCTAGAAGCCCATGAAGTCATTCACACACAGGTGTTGGGGACTGAGAATAGGTCAGAGGGATCCTACCCAGGGGCATCTGCATTTTTTTGTTTGGTTTTGGTGAGGAAAACTGGCCCTGAGCTAACACCTGTGCCAATCTTCCTCTATTTTGTATGTGGGACCCCGCCACAGCATGGCTTGATGAGAGGTGCACAGATCCGTGCCCAGGATCCAAACCTGCGAACACTGGGCTGCTGAAGCAGAGCACGCAAACTTAACTACTATGCCACCAGGTGGTCCCGGCATCTGCATTTTTAAAGAGCACTTTTTCTCTCTTACAAGCTACGCTTGCCTTAAACCAAAGAAATGAACCTCTAGCCCTTAGGGCCAACCATGAAGCCCAGCAGGAGACAAAGATTAAATATTCTCAACCAACCAAGAGGCCCCAACCAGGAGGTGCCTCCTTCATCCTTAACCTGAGGCTCCAGGGAAGATGTCATGGCCCTGTCTAGAGAGGGGACAAGAATGTTGTTGGAAATCACCTCCCCCACGGCAGAGCTTGCTAACTCTGGAGCTGGAAGTCAGTCTCTCAGAAACAGGCCCAGCGCCCTGTCCGCAGCCCAGTGTCTCCTGTCTCGTGGCAGCGATGCTCAGAGGACGTGGTGTAGCCACCCTGTATACATATGTCACACTAGGTGACACCTTCTCTGGACACACAAGTTACAGTCCAGGACCTCGCTCTGCTGGACTGGACATGCCCCCGACACCCCACAACACAGGAGGGTGTCACAGCCCAGCCCACTGCACACGAATCCTCGAGAGGAACGCAGGGTCTGCACAGGTGAGGCCTGAGGAAGCCTGAGGCAAAGATTTCTTTTGCCACAGAAGTAGAGCCTCGCAAATGTCCTAATCACAGAGCCTGCCTGACTAGCCCCCTGGGCAGTGACGTAACACAGCCCACCCTTCCCCCGCCTGCAGCCTGATGTAGAAGGGGCACGTCATCAGGCTCCAGGAGCCCTCGACACCCCGCTCTTACCTCCAGCGGGACCACCTGCATCAGGATGGCGAAGTTGGTGAGGTGAGTGCAGCGGCAGACGGAGTAGCTGAGGTTCCCTTCTGTGAGCGCACAGCCCTGGTTGGACCAGACCCCTTCCCCGGAGCTGAGGACAGGACACAAGAGAAACGGTCAGCGGGAAGCACCAGCCCACCCTTGGCTGTGGGCTCAGAAAGCGTTCTCGCCCATCAGGCTGACCAGAGCAGGGCGCGTCTGCTGTTGGTCAGGCCACAGGGAAACAGGCCCTCCTTCCGGGAGAGGAAAGCGGTGTGGCCACTTTGGCACAATGACTTTGAAAACACCTGGACCCATATCCATTAAAAATGAAATGGACAAGTCCCACCACCCAGCAATCCCACTTCTAGAGGACTCTGAGCTATACGCACAGGGGGCACATCCAGGGTATTTCCTAAGAGATGGGTGATGCTAGAGAACATGAAAGTAACATACCGTCCACCTTGGGGAACTGGATAAATAAAATATGATATATACAAATATGATAAAATATTATACATCAGTCAAAAATGTGTATTGATATGGATAAAACACAAAACGTAATGGATAATGTTACATGCGTCACAATGCTGCAAGGGGCACGACACACACAAGATCCTATATTTTCTATGCATGTAAACATACATTATTGAGAAAACTCCCCACCGGTTGGTCCAGAGAGAGGGGAAGAGCTCAGGGTAAGAAGTAAAAGTCCAGGGATGTGTGTTTCTTTATAGTGTTTTCCTTTTTTATACAATAACGCATCAATACAGTGCTTGTATCATTTCTTACAGTACAAACCTAGACAAAAACGACTTGAAGCAAATATGCTCAAAGGTTAACTGTGGTTCATTCTTGGTGAGAATCTTGGCAATTATAATTTTCTCCTCTGTTTCTCTCTATATTTTAAAATTCCAAGAGATATTTAAATGGTTCTTCCCAGAAATTGCAATTTTGAGTTATCAGCAAAGACAAACCTTTGGCAGGGCCTTGGGGGAAAGATTTTATGAAGCTGAAGAAACTAAAAGGCTCTAGTTTCTCTTTGCTTTATATTCACTTTGACTGTAATGTCAGCCGTGAATGTAGCAGATGAGAAATGTGCCATCCCGGGTCGGGGGGGGGGGGGGTAGGCAATAAAGACTCCGTCCTGCCCCGCCCCCCCAGGGGTGTCCCGTGAAGGAAGCACACCTGGTGGCATGTTTATTTTCATCCCTGAGGTGGAGAGTGTCCCTGTGGGGACGTAGCGTGATTGTAACTCTGGGTGAGCCTTGGGTGATGCCAAATCTGAAGGCAGGTGGGAATGGTCACTTAGAGATGACTCGGTGGGCAGTGAGCCTGATGGCCGAGACTCGGGGTTAGCGGCCTCAGAGGCAGTTTTCACGATGAATGGTCTGCTCTCCTCGGGAAAGGAGGGGGAGCATTTAGCAGAGACCAGAGGGCACAGCCAGGGCCATGGGAACCTATCAGTTTAGGGGAACAAACCCCACTAATGACTTCAGAATAAAAGGGGCATAAAGATGGAGTCACGTCCTCCTCCCTCCGCCACCCCTTCTGGTCTGATCTTCCCAGGACCTTGAGGAGAGTCAGCGACACTGGCTGTCAGGTCACGTACAGCACCTCTTCTGTCTACCGAATGTATGAAAGCCATCTTCAATTAGAGGGTGGCCTGAAAACCAGCAGGCACTGAATCAGGTGAACACAGCTGTGGGGACAAAAATTGTGCCTTCTGCTAACGCAGAGGGTGACTGGGAATTAAATCCATGAAAATCATTTTCCCAAATGGAGCCGTGAAGGTGTGACGATGCTCTAATTAGCCAGGGAGCTGAGCCCTAAGTGGCACCACCCCGTCCTGGGTGTAAAGACGCCCTTCCCAGGGAGCCGGTGAAAACAAGAAGGCAGGCTCCCCGGCCTGTGCACAGATAAATCCACCACAGAGGCCAGGCCAGGTGATATCAAATAGCAGTAAAAATGCGCATAACCCTGTGACCTAGGAAGTCTGCATCTAAGAGATGCATAAATAAAATGTGGTGCGTGTATAAATATGATAAAACACCATGCATCCGTTAAAAGAGATGAGCGCAGAACACAATAGGGCAGAACACAAAACAAAGTGTTCTGTAAAATGATGCAAGAAACGTGAAACTAAGCAATACCACGTATTTCCTTTGAACATAAGTATACATCATACATAAATTATTGCAAAAACACACACAAAAATCTCCCCACTGTGGCTACTGCTAGAAAGAGGGGAGGAGATCAGGATAAGATATAAAGACATGTAAAGGGGTGTCTGCTTTTTTATGTTTTGCATTTTAAAAGAACAGTGTATTATATATTGCTTGTGTCATTTTTTTAAAGGGAAAGTCTAGAAAAAAGTGACCCAGAATTCTAAGCCCAGTGAGAATATCTTTCAGAAATATAAGAGAATACTTTCTCAAACAAAAACCAAACTTATTGCCAGGAGACTCACATGACAAGAAAAGTTAAAGGCATATGATGCCAGACAGAAACGTTGATCTACACACAGAAATAAAATAGCTGGAAATGGAAAAAGATGAAGGGAAATATGCAATTATTATTTTCTTATTTTAACTGCTCTAGAAGATAACTAATTGTCTAAAGTAAAAATACCATCACCGTATTGTGCATTTGTGGCTGTAAAGGTAAATGTATGACAAGCTAGCATAAGGGATGGGCAGGGGGAGCTGTGAAAGGATTACTGTAATGACTTATGATACATGTGAAGGGATAGACTGTTATTTGAAGGTGGACACAGATGAGTTAAAGATCTATACTGTAAGCCCAAGGGCAACCACTACAAAAAAATCAAAAGGAGGTATACATTGAAGTCAAGAGTGGAGATAAAATGGCATCATAAAATATACCCCCAAATCCAAATGTAGTGAGAAAAAGGAAACATAAGAAACAATGAAAAGATAGAAAAAACAGAAAACAGCTAGCAACATGGCAGGTTTAATCCAACTACATCAATAATTATATTAAATATAAATTATCTAACATAGCAATTAAAAACAGAAACTTTCAGATTGGTTAAAAAAGCAAAACCTAGTCATATGCAATCCATAAGAAACCCACTTTAAATATAAAGATATAAACAGGTTAAAATAAAAGGATGGGAAAAGGTACAGCATGCAAACACTAACTATGAAAGCCAGAGTAGCTAAATCAAAGTTAAATGAAGTAGACTTCAGAACTACAAATATTTCCCAGGATAGAGAGGGACGTTGGATAATGACAAAGGGGTCAATTTCCAAGAAGACATAACAATCCTAACTGTATATGCACCAAACAAAAGAGCTTCAAAATGCATTTAAGAAAAAACTGATAAAACTGAATAGTTAGAGAATTCACACTCCTCTCTCATTAATTGATAGAACAAGTTGACAGAAAGGTAATAAAGTTATAGAAGATCTGAACAATCCTATCAATCAATGTGACTTAAATGACATTTATAGAACACTCCATCAAGAATACATTTTTTCTAAGTATACATGGGACATTCACGAAGACTGAACATTTTCTGGGTCATAAAACAACTTTTTACAAATTTAAAAGAATTGAAGTTATATAAAGAATGTTTTTAGATCAAAAAAAATTTAATTAGAAATCAATAGCAGAAAGATCTCTGGAAAGTCCCCATATATTTGGAATAAACAACACACTTTAAAACAGTACATGGGTTGAAGAAGAAGTCACAAGGAAAAGTAGAAAATATTTTTAATTTAATGAAAATGAAAACAACATATCAACATTTGTGGGATGTAGCTAAATCAGTGCTTACAGGAAAATTGATAGCATTAAATGTTTATATTAGAAAATAATAAAGTTCTCATATGAATAATCCAAGCCTACACTTTAAAAAAGTAAAAAATGAAGAGCAGATTAAACCCAAAGCAAGCAGAAGGAAGTAAAGACAAAGAGAAGAGAATAAATCAATAAAACTGAGAATAAAAACACAATAGAGAAAAATCAATGATATCAAAAGTTGTTTCTTTGAAAAAACTCAATAAAATTGATAAACTTCTAGTAAGAGTGACCAAGAAAAAAGAAGAAATGAAAGAGAGACATCACCACAGACCCTACGGTTCAGATGACTTCACTGGTGAATTATAACAAATATTTATGGAAGAAATAATATCAGTTCTATACAAACTATTCCAAAATGTACCTTTTACAAAGGTACCATTACCTTGCTACAAAACCCAAAGACATTACAAAAAGAGAAAACTACAAACAATATCCTTTGTGAACAGAGATACAAAAATCCTCAACAATTCTAGCAAATCAAATTCAACAATATTTAAAAAGATAATACATCCCGACCAAGTGGACTTTATCCCAGGAATGCAAAGCTGGTTCAACCTTCAAAAGTGGAAACAACCCAAATGTTCCTCTACCGGAGAACAGACAACCAAACTATATGATACATCCATGCAATGGAATACTACTCAGCAATAGAAAATAAAAATGAACTGTTGATACATGCTACAACGTGGATGTCGTTATGCTAAATGAAAGAAGCCAGACTTAAAAGGCTACCTACACTGTGATTCCATTTATATGGCGTTCTTGCAGAGGCAAAACTCTAGGGATAGAAGACTAATCAGCAGTTGCAAGAGCTGAGGTCAGAGGAGCGGATGACAGCAAATGGACATAAAGGATTCTCTGAGGGTGATGGAATTGCTCTACGTGATTATGGCAGGTGCACAACTGTATTCATTTGTCAAAACTCGCAGAACTGTATAACAAAAAGGGTGGATTTTTCTGAATGCCAATTGTACGCTAACAAATAATAATTGGGAACACGGACAGGAAGGTTACACACACTGTATTCACAATGGGGCTGCCTCTGGGAATTGAGGGAAAAGAACAGGAGGAGACAAAGCATTCTTTCACATCATCTGTGATGTTTTTGTTGTTTTATTCTTAAAAATAGAAACACACTAATAATTAAAAATTGGGGGCATTTGTTACAATATTCTTTGCACTTTTCTCTGCTCTTAAAATTTCTTCAAAAATAAAAACCAACATTTCATTTGGTTCTTACTAAACTCCATCTCCCTTCTTCCATCCATACAATTTTTTTCTACAAGCAGTGCCGCCAAAACTGGGGTGAATTTTTCTAGGAGAATGTGCTTCTGAATTCTCATAATTTACCAAGAAATGAATAAAGGGATGCAGCTGGCTGAGCTCAGCCAAGACAAAACCACGAAACTCACAGAGCTGCCAATCCATTTTGCAGATGGCCCATGGGTGCACTGCTGAAGGCCACAGCCGGAGAAAGGCACTCCCACGAGACAAAAAAGTATATATTTGCTGAGCATTACAGGGGATCTGCTGCATTTTCCTCACTGTTCATGGAGCAGAGATGAAGGGGCATCAAGAAGTCATCAAAGGGGGAGCAAGATGACTTGATGCTGACCCCCAGTTCAGCATCTTGAGGCCTCTGCTCCCCTGAGTGTAGGGAAGCAGAGTGGCCTTCTCTGATGAGTGGGGATGCACACCCCCGGGAGGATGCTGGGCCGGAGGGGCCATGAAGCAGCAGTGAGGAGGGACCTGGGGGTGTGTATCCAGGTACAGGGAAGATGCTCAGGTGTGGGGGAGCCCTGAGACAGGAAGGGGGAGCAGCCATCAGGCGGGGCATGAGCTGGAGGCCCCAGATGTGTTCTGTTAACCTCTACTCTGCTTCAAAGTTCACATAAAAATCCAACCTTGAACAATCAGAAGATCTGAAAACACAGAGTCTGGATCCCACAGGGAACGCGCCACGGGGGCCAGAGCTGAGCAGCTGAGAGGGTCCGTGACCCTCACCCCCTGCCCCCACCCCATCCACTCCCGACTCTCTCCTATGCTCACTGATGGCACCTCCCTGGCCCCATGGGGATCTGTTTTCAATCCCTGTTTTGACCATGGGAGCCAATCGTGGTGGGCTCACATCCAGAGGAGCATCACAACGAGAACGATGTCAGGAGAAGGCCCCCCAGACTGCAGGCAGGTGAGCCCACAGAGGTGAGCTGGAACAGGGTCCGGGAGCAGGGGTGGGAGTGAATCTCAGAGGTGAACACGGGAGATACTGAGAAGGACACCCCTGGGTCAAGGTCTGAGTGGCAGAGGATGAGGACTCACAGTTTTCAGCAGGGCTGATGTTCAGCTCACTCAGTGTGGTCCTCAAGGTCTTAAAATCCTAAAATGCTGACATGCCAGCCAGGAAAGAGCTGCTTCCCAAGACACCCCCTCCCCAGGACCCCCAGAATAGCACCTAACTCTGACACACCCAAGGGCATCGGGACTCTTCCCGCCCAAACAGCGTCATCCCTCCTGAGGCCCCGGGGCCTCAGCTGAACTGGGTAAGTGTTTTGAAGACCACCCTGGTCTCCAAGAGACTGTGTCCTGATAAATCCTCATTTGTCTAGAGAGGAGCATCCCAGCTCCTCCTCCAGGTCCCCCTCCATCGCCCCTGCCCCGATCCTGAGTCATCTCCAGCACCTGTAAGGTGATGTAACTGCACTGCCTCCAGAAACGGAGGCCTGGGGACTGGCATGTGACAGAGCATGGGCCTGGACACCCCTGTGGCACCAGCTCCCTCCCCCACTCTCTCCCCCTTCCCTCCCCCACAGCCCTGTCCTCTCCCGGGGACCTCAGCGCAGCGGTACCTGAAGTCCAGGAAGGCGCAGTACAGGAAGACTCGGTTGCTCTCATTGGCGGCCTCGCTGTACTGCCTGCGAGTCTGAAATGAGAGAGAACAGACATGCTTCAGGACGCAGCAGGAGAACTGAGTCCCCGGCACTGAATTCAGAGCCGCGCCCTCACGGTCTGGGAGACCTTGGGTGGTGATTCGCAAAGCCACTGACTTTCCATTGGGCTCCCAGTTGTGGTCAGAGAGGGCCAGGTCACCCGGCCTGTCACACTCCCTCTTTGCCCACGCCAGCCCTCAAGCCCGGGCTCCCATCTCAGGGCCTTCATGCCTTCGTGTCCCCCTTTAGAATGCTGTTCCCCCAAAACAACCACCTGGCGCCCCCCCCCCCACTTTCCTCAGGTGTCTGCTACGGGTTAGCTCCTCAGAGAGACCTTCCCTGCCTAGTCAAAACAAGACCACCCCTGCACCCTCCACCCGCTTCCTTCCTCTTGTTTAATTTTTTCACAGCATTGGTCACCAGGCAGCAGGTTACATGTTCCCATATTTATTCGTGTGCTGTCTTCCCCTCTAGAACGTGCACACAATGAGCACTGGCTGTCTCGTTTTCTGCTGATGCTTACTAAACATCTGTTGAATGAACAGACAAAAGAATGGACAAGTGAATAGATCAGTCAACGGCCCTGTTCCTAGGACTCTCATTCTCTCCCGAGAGAAGAAGTCTAGTGCCTGGACTTCCCGGATGCCAGCTCCAGGCACGTAGCAGCAGCCGCTCTGCCCTCAACAAGATGCAGGGACTCCTCCCGGAACTGTCCCCAGGAAGCTCAGGGAGCCAGCAGCTCCATCAGGACACCAGGTGCTCACAGGCTGGGCTCCGGACAAACGGTGTCTCGCTGATTCCCGACCAGTAAGTCAAGCGCCTCTTATTTGATACCCAACGCTCACTCCCTTCTCTCTTCTGCAAATGCTGTCATTCACGAGCCTCCCCGGCTGGAGTGAGACCCCGTCCCTCATGTCAGGGCTGCATCGGCCATGGATCAGTTGAGCCCCCCTTTCTGCAGGAGACGAGCAATGGTGGCGCCTCCCTCCCCTACCTCTATTCTAGCACATTACACACAAGCTCCTCTTCCCCGGCGGGCGGTGAGCACCTGCAGCTACACTGATGGCCATCCCTCCCACAGGCCCTCTGGACCCCTGGAAAACCAAAGGGTTCATCTAGCATCTCCTGCATTCTACAGTCTTCTCTGATCGTCCTCGTGGGCACAGTACAATTACATTAATGCCATTTATTACCGATCTTCTGGCAAAATGGAATCTTTACTCCTTTTCCTTTCTTCCTCTAGTATCTTAGGGTTATTTTAATATGTTATGGGGTCTCTTAAAACTGCCTATGCCTGGAAAGCCTGCAGGCCCTTGGCCAGAACGTTCCTCCCCAAGACCATGGCTGTTCCTCTAACCGTCCATCTTCACATCTAGGAGAGGCCTTTCCCAGCCTCCCCAGCCCCCATCACTATCTCCTTTTACCAGTTTTGTTTTTTCCACAGCACTCAAGACTGTCTGAAACATTCTTAGTTACTGATCTGTTCATCAGTTCAGCATCTCTGTCCCTCCATTAGGATAAAGCTCACAGGGCAGGGACCCTCTTTGTCTTCACGCCTGCTGTGCCCACACACATGGAACCTTCAGGGTTACTGTGGAAATGCGAGGTCACGGGCAGGCCAGCACGATCTCTGAGTTCTAAGAGGAGATCCTGAGGGGACACCCACCCAGACAGCATGGGCCACCACACTGAGCTGTAGGAGAACCTGCGGGTCAGGACCCACAGGGCCGTCCTCTGTCCACACACGCGGGTTAGGAGAGGGCCCAGTACTCAGGGAAATGAGTTCAATTGAACCTCAAACCCTATAAATAAACGGGGAGACCAAGCGACACAACCTCAGGCTCAAGAAAGTCAACAGGAAAAAGCCCTAAAAATCTCAAACCTTCATTTTCTTCACGCTGTTTTTCTAGGCTGCGTCCAAGATGCCTGACTGTGTCCTCAATGGCACCTGGGGACAACCCGGCTGGCATCCCTTCTCGTGTTCACTGAGGAGGAGGGTGGTTTTCAGGGTGTGGGCCCACCAGCAGCCTCAGCATCACCCGGGAACCTGGAATGGCCAGTCCTAGGGCCCCAGTGCAGAATCAGGAACTGCGGACAGGGGCTGGCCCCCAGGATTTCACCAGCCCTCCAGAACCACTGAACATTAGGGAGATGTTTCCCCCTCTGCCCCTCGTAACATCTCCGCCTGCTGTGAACTTGGTGCTCAGACAGAGGGCCCTGTGTCTGCAGCCACTTAGGACCACAGAGGTCATTAGCACAGGAGAACTTCGACACACAAAACCCACAACATCGAGAACGCAAACAGGAACCTAGCGTGACCACCACCCAGTATGGGCGAGGTTCCTCGGCTGGGGCTGCCCTGGACCCACGCCCTCCAGGATAGCACTGTGTCATTGGTAAACAAGGAGGCGCATCTGTGTGTTACTTGTGTAACGTAAAAGGAATGGTGACGGGGGCCAGGACTGGAGGACGGCAGCAAGCAGGCTCGCTCGCCTCGTCGGAGCCTCCTTCCTAAGGAACTGGTGGTCCCATCCCTCACGGCCTCTGACGTGGGGTCAGCCGTGCAGGAGCACTTCACCCCGGGGCAGCGCAGAGGCTGGAGCAGCCTCTACAAGACCTGACCCCCTGACTCCATGTCTAAATCACTCTTCAAGGGGAATTTGAAATCCAGCCACAACGGCAACAAGCCAAGCGCGTGTGTGGTCGGAGGGTGGAGGGGCAGATGCGATCCCGCCCGAGTTGGGAAACTCGGAGGTTCCTCCCGGCCCTGCTCCGCGATGGGAAAAGCAGACCGCCTCCCTCTGTGTCTGGAGTTTGCAACCCAACTGGAGCAAAGGCTCCCAGCAAGTCTCCAGGAAAGGAGAGCTCCCAGGAGCGCGATTTGGAGCGGGGTGTGCTCACACGTGGGGCGCAGCGTTGCCAGAGGGAGGACGGTGAGTCATCCGTGTCATGGCCCACTTTCCTGGAGAACTGCGGGCGGCGCCCGCCCCAGCCTCCCGAGCTCCGGGGCAAGATGGAAACCATTCCGCTTAGTCACCCAGCGGCCAGGAAACGAGTGTCCTCATCAGGGCGGGGGGAAGCAATGTGCACCTGGAAGCCCTCCCGAATTCTGAAGCCGAGGGCCCTGCCGAGCTCTGTGGTCCAGAGGGAAGGCCGTCCACTGGGCAGCGGGCCCCGCCCCAGGGAGCCTGACCCCACCAGACACACTCCACTTCGGTACGTCTGGTGGGGAGAGTCGTGTGGGCCCTCGGAAGCATCTCCTCCAGGATCCGAGGCGTCCTCAAGCAACACAGGGGTTTCCATTTGGGGAGAAGCAGATGGGATGAACCAAGTCTTCACAGCCTACTGTGCACAATCAAGGAAAGAAGGGTGTCTCCTTCTGGGAGACGCACGTCAAAAGAGGAGACAACCTATCACAGCCCGTTAACGCTCCGGGCTTAGAAATCTGCTTGCTTTTTATTCAAGTGCACAGTTTTTCCCATAAATAATGGGAGACACTTGCCTATCACCGCCCCACCAACCACACAGATGGCACCCTGGCCCCGCGTCCTGGCCCTTCGTAGAGCAATGGAAAGGTCAAGGTGCCGGCTCCCAGGGCGCGGGCAGGAGAGCGTGGACGTCAGCGGGAGACCTGGAGCAGCCTCTCTGCTGGCCACCCTCCTCTCCAACCAGGCTCCTCTCCTGACACGCCAGGGGCCAGGACCTGAGTGGTTGAAATGTCCCACCTTTAGGGAAAGCAAGAGTGAGGGAAGTAACGCTGGTGGAGGGGTGACGAGGAAACCCTGTAACCAGCCTCACCCTCCCGGTGCTTTCAGCTGTCTCCTGCTTTCAGAGAAGCACAAGCCGTCCAGCCCTCCAGGAGGGCGAGGCGGCCCTCCTCCTGAAGGAGGCTGAGGCAGGTTCCAGCTCTGGCGGGAGGGGGGCAGGGCCTCGATAAAGGAGACAACTGTGAAATCACCTCCCAAGAGGGGTCGGGGTCAGACTGGTGAGCGCTGAGGGCGAAAGGTCAGGTGGAGTAAGCACTGCGACCTCTGACCTAGGGGAGCGGGGGCATCCCCATCCTGGCTGCCGGGAGAGGTAGGCCGAGCCCCGGGGCACTGAGGATGCGCAGGCCCTGCACTCACACCCTCGCAACGTCCCATTCACCCCAGGCTGCTTCTGGAAGCTCAGGCACCCTTCTTCCAGTGTGTCAATCAAGTCATCCGAGGACACCCCAAATGCCCTGCACATGGCCCCCACGCCCTCCTCCCCTCCAGATGTTGCCTGACTCTCCACCTCCCCTGGCCCTGCCAGGCCCACGAGTCAACAGAGGCCCCTTTGGGCTTGAGTCGTGTCTGCTCCATCCATGGACACATGCTGACCACGCGATGCAGACGCCCGTGCAGTGCTGACAGGCCCCTCCTCATCTCCAGGGGATGGCCGGGCCTCAGTCCTAGAAGGGGCCCCAACCTCCCAACCTGCCTCTCCCTCCATATGCACTGAGCGCAGCCAGGAGACACGCGGGAGCGGGGCTTGTGCGGGACACATCAGCATGGCCACAGCCACGGGGGACCAGGGCCGGAGATGCCCACCGAAGCCCCCAGGCTGGAGGCCTCGGGACCGTGGTGTTCACATGACTCCAGGGACCTGGAGTCTCTGTCTTCACTGTCAGTGTGGGACTCTGGGACCCAGTGGTGGGTCTGGGGACAGCAGGGAATTCAATCTAAAGTGTCATCCTCCGTGGTTTCCCAGGTCCTCTCTCGTCTCTTAAACCTCACAAGCCCTGTTTGAGAGGGACGGAGGCTGCAGGCTCCTGATTCCCACACTCATGGCTTATATTCAGGCTGTAAACCTGCCAGGCCAGTGAGGGAGACACGCAGAGAGGAAATTGCTTTGATGTTTCAGGCCAAAAACAAGGAAAAGTAACTGTGAAGTTACATGAGGATCTGGAATTAGAACAGCCTGCCTCAAAATTGAACAGAAAGAGTTTTCAAATCGTCCCCATGGCCAGGTAACACCTCGTCACCAAGTTCTCAGTGGAAAATGCGCTGACACAGGCTGGACCATACCCGCACCTGTGCCCACACTGGGCATTTCCAGCTGCGCCTCTCAGAGAACAGAGGGACAGGGACAGAGGGGAGGCGAGCATGGAGCCGAGCAGGGAGACACAGGGAGGAGGCAGGCATGGGCCAGGGCGAGGGCTGCTCTGAGTTCGTTCTCAAGGGTTAGAGGTTGGGGGTTATTTCCAGAAGTCTCCATCCCCATTCCACATGAATGAGCTGCAAAGATTCTTGTTTAAAAAAAAATCCTGTGTTGAGCCACAAGCTTGGACCATTGGATGCCAGACGTTTTATTTATTTACTGCCTTCTTGTGAGTCTGGGGTTGTCACAAAGATTTGCTTCCAGTTAGGTTCAAAAAGAATCAGGCCACCAGTCCTGGCCTCAGATTCCTAACACTAACCCCCCCACCTCACCCCTCACCCCACCAAGTTAACCACGGAGACATCATGTGTCCCCAGAAACTCTCTGGGGAAAAGACCCCAGCCCAGTCCAGCTGTACCTAAGATGGGCCTCTCAACACTGGAGGACTCATCGCTGCCCAAGAAGAGACACTGCCCTCTCTTTCCTCATCCAAGAGGCGAGGGTGGAAAACACATTAGGATTGTCTGAATTAAGACAAATTCACTCAAGCAGCAAAAATGTCTTCTCTGTGGAAAACACAGGGTCCTCAATTTTGTGGAATCATCTCCTCCTGTTAGAAAATATGCTCCTCAAAAAAAAACAATTGTGAGAGAGCTTCACGACACACATTCTGCATGCGCTCATGACGCCTAAGGTAACAGGACTGCCCTGATATACAGGGTGAATTTGTAGAAAGAGAACGAGTTATAAAAACGTATCCTGACAGTCTGCAAATAGATCAGGGGAACCCAGAGACAGCCCCACGCAAGTACGGCCAACTGACTTCTGACAAAGGAGCGAAAGTAACTCAGTGAAGGAAGGAGGGTTCTTCCAACAACCGACATCGGAGCAATTGGACATCCATAGAGAAACAAACAAACAAACAAATATCTTAACCTGAATCTCACACCTTACACAAAAATTAACCGAACGTGGATCCTAGATTAAATGTCAAACATAAAACTTCTAGAAGAAAACATAGGAGAAAATCCTCAGGACCTAGAATTTGATGTAGAGTATTAGCTATAACACCAAATATACAATCCATAAGATGAAAAAAATCAATGTTAAACTTCATAAAAATTAAAAACTTCAGCCCTGTGAAAGACCCTAATAAGAGGATAAAAAGACAAGCTACAGAGTAGGAGGAAATATTTACAAACCACATATCTGACACAGGAGCCACGTCTGGAATATATAAAGAATTCTCAAAACTCAACTGAAAAAAAACAAAGATTCCAGATAGAAAAGGGGAAAGGACATGAAGAGACATTTCACCAAACAGGATGTACAGATGGCAAATAAGCACAAGAAAGGACTTTCAACATCACTAACCATTAGGGAAATTCAAATTCAGACTACAGTGAGAAAAATCAAAACAAAAAGTAGTGCCTGTGTCAAATGCTGACAAGGATGCTCATATGTTGCTGGTGGGAATGTGAAATGGTACAGACACTCTGGAAAATAGTTTGGAAGTTTTTAAAGATATTAAACATACTTACCCTAGGACCCTGCAAATGCACTCCTGGGCATTTATCCCAGAGAAATATAAATAATTTGCACACAAAAACCTGTACATGATTGTTCATAGCAGCTTTGCTTGTAATATCCAAAACCTGGAAACAACCAGATATCCTTCAGTGGGTGATGGTTAGCCATACCGTGGTTTATCTGTACCACAGAACACTTCCAGCAACAAGAAGCTATAAACTGCTGACACAAGCAGCAACACAGATGGATCTTAAGGTATTATGCTGAGTGATACAGCCAATCTCAAAAGGCGACACGCTGTGTGATTCCATTTATGTACCACTCTCAGAAGGAGAAAACAATAAAGATGGAAAGCAGATCGCTGGTTGCCGGGAGTTAGGGATGGTAGGAGAAGGAGGTGCAACAAAAGGGAGACTTTCTTGGTGGTAAAATGGTACGTACCCCTATCTCAGCGGTGGTTCCAGCATCTACACCTGTGTTAAAGTGACCCAGGACTATATACACACATTGTGCCAATGTCAGTGTCCTGGTTTGATACTCACCTTAGTTCCATCATCTGTAACCTCTGGGGGAAACTGGGTGCAGGGTACACAGACCTCTTTCTACTATCTTTGCAGCTTCCTGTGAATCTATCATTATTCCAAAACGAAAAGTTTTAAAAAGAGTTAAATCAGCATCAGATCAATTATAAACAAGCTAAGTTTTCCAGCTGGAGGAAACACACGCTTGGGCAGGAGATAGAAGGACCCTACCATTAAGCCAGGGATTTTAATATTTAAGTCTCATTTTGATTAGATGAATCCTGCCCAGGAACATGGAATTAGTTGGTAAGCCAGCTAAGGGGACCACAGGTAATAGATCGTTACTCTCATCATTGCAGATAATACTACCATAACTAGTAATTATCCTCCCCCTGGGCCCCAGTGCCTTGAATTTCAACTATTTGTCAACTGTCACCTTGTGAGAGTCCCAGACAATCCTGGCACAGCGCAATCCACAACAGACCCTGAGGACGCTGGTGCCCTCACTTCTTCCCAGGGTCCTCCTTCTATTCTCAGGGCCTTGCTTACTCTGTGAGCATCCCCATCCACATCCTGAGGTGTGACCATCCACATCCAAATCTGGAGGTGGGAGCATCCCCATCTGTATTCTAAGGTGTGAGCATCCGCATCTGCATCCTGAAATGTGAGCATCTCTATGGGCATCCGGAGGTGTGAGCATCCGCATCTGCATCATGAGATCTGAGCATCCACATCTGCATCCTGAGGTGTGAGCATCCCCATCC